TTTTTATATATATTTTATATTTGAAAATATTTTTTGAACTTTTTTTCCTTTTTTACATGTCTAAATACTAAAATATATGTATATATTTTATATTTTTCTATGAAGGTTAAAATGGTAATATATTAACAGGCGTTAGTCTCTTTAATGTCAAGTTAGTGACATGGTGAGTTTTTGACAATTTCCCTTTTTCATATTGCAGGCTACCTCAATTTTTGTGCTATAGACTGATTTTTCATTTTGAAAAGAATGATGTTGATGGTAAGAGTTTTGTAACCAAACACTCTAATGTTATTCATTCTTGCCCATAATGAACAAGAATTAAAAAATAAAATAAAATAGGCTCTAAACAACAAACCAAACATGGCCTTATTTGTTGCCTAAGGGCAAAATTTGAAAATTGGAAGCATTTTTCCAACCTTTTTAATAATATTCCCCTTGCTTAATTATAGCGGGCAAATTTTGGAGGTATTCACTCCCGGGTGCATTAGTTAATTAGCATAACCTCTTCTATCATTTTGTGAGTATTATGGAAGGAGAGGTGTAAACGTCTCCCCCTCTCAGGTTTGATAATTAAAGTAAAAAAGGTTGATGGAAATTAGCTTCCACTATGGACGACCACTAAACCAAATTATTATGCTATTCAGGCTCTCAGCATTCCGAGTAAGGCTCCTAAAAGGAGAGAAGAGTTAAGTGGGTTGTTACTACCAAAAAAAAGTGGATTGTTTGGAATTTTCCTTCTAAACACCAATTTAAATTCATTGTGGATGGTGTTAGTTTGGGCAAACCCCTGGGAGTTAGTGATGGTGGTGGTATTGTTGCAAATGCTAGTGGTATTATTACATGCTTAGCCTCTCATAACTCCTCTGGTTTCGCTACTTTTATCCATGAAAAATACTTGGCTCTTCTCGATGGAATTCAAATGTGTTTTAGACTATCTATGCAATTGTGGTGAAAAATGATAATGAGAGATATGTATTCTTCAACAATTTCTTATACGATCTAGAGAATTGAATACCTTCTTAGCAATATGGAAGTCCTTTTTCACAAGGTTTTTAAAACTATATCGGACAGGGAACTGTTTTAGGGACCGGTTCCCAGGTCAAAAAGTTCAACCAACTAGTTCAAACGAATGATCCGCTTGACTTAAAAAATAAAAATAATAATAAAAACAACCAAAAACTATTGTCTAGATTGACGGTTCAACAGTTCGATTGCCCAGGTCAATAGGTCGTTGGCCAAATAAAAAATGATTTTAGGGTGAAACGGAACTAGTTACTTAACTGGTTCCTGGTTTTTCCAGTCCAACCATTCAATCTGGTCCTATTTTCAGAACCAAGGTTTTTCATGTACTTTAGAAGGTAATAAATGTGCTAAGGTAAATAAAGGAATGAGGATTCATTTTCTATCTTTACTACTAGATTCCAACTTCCTACTAGGGGTGAGCAAGAAAGCCTAAAAAATTGAACCGAACCGAAACCGAACCAAAAATCTGGTTAACCAAACCGGTTGGTTTGGTTTCGGTTCGCTATTCTTAAAAAACCACAAGTTTCGATTTGGTTTCAGTTAACCTTTTAAAAAAACCAACAGTTAACCGAATCAATCTATATATATATATATATATATATATATATATATATATATATATATATATTTTAATCGAAATAAACCATCGCCATTTGAGTTTCCCCCTTCCCCTTTTTCGTACCTAAAGGCTAATACCAAAATTGAAAACCCTTGCTTTCCTCTTGTTCGTCTTCCTCCCCAATTCCCCTTGCTTTCCTCTAGCATCGGTCATCATCTTCCGTCATTCAACATCGGCGTTGGTCGATGGTTGTCCTCCAATGGCCTCTCCCCCTCCCTTCTCTGTTACGGCCACGCTAGAAGGCCTAGAACTGAAAACTCTTTCTCTCATTCTTTGCCTCTCTCTCACCTATCATCTCCTCCACCACTTCGTGCCAACCGCCAAGTGGCAACACCGGTCACCAACAAGCACCAAGCCACCAAAGCCAAGCGCCAGCTACTCCCTCTTCGGTGACACCTATCATCTCTGCCACCTCTCACTTCATGTTCAAGCGAGAGCAACTAGTCCGGCGCCAACAAATCGACCACCACTTCAATGTTCATTGTCGAAGTTCGACTTCAGGCCTTCAACTTGTTTAAAGTATTTTTTATTTTTTTGCATAAATATACAGGCCTTCGAGCTTCAACTTGTTCATTTATAGTGTATTTTTTTCATTTTTTTGGATTGTTACTAAATGAGTGAATGAATGTTGATTAATAGTTTAGTTTGTTGTATTTTCATTTCAGTTTGTTTTAGGTATTTTTATTTATTTTTGCATAAATATTAGTGTGTTTGTTCATTTATAGTGTATTTTTTTTATTTGTTTTTAGATTGTTATTGAATTAATGTTGATTAATAGTTTAGTTTGCTGTATTTTCATTTCAGCTTGTTTTAAGTTTTTTTTTTGCATAAATATTAGTGTATTTGTTCATTTAAAATGTTTTTTTTGGATTGTTACTAAATGAATGTTGATTATAATAGTTTAATTTGTTGTCAATTGATTTTGATGGAGGAAAGGTTTTTTTCCTTTTTTTTAATTTTGAATGGAAAATTACTGCATCAAAAAAAGGAAAAAATTTGAAAAAATCGAACCACGGTTAATCAATCCACCAATCACCAATTAACCGATTGCATCGGTTCGAATTATTAAAAAACCAATCAAATCGGTTCGATTCAAAAAAAACCTCACGGTAACCGTGAGCACCCCTATTGTGGTTCAAGAGGATCATATTGATCTCCATATGCTTTATATTGATTATTGTTTAATGTATTTACGTTTGAGTGGCTTAGGGAGATACCTTTGGATCCAATTTTGGGGCAAGGCCAGATATGTGCTCTGGATGCTTCTGAGATTGAATAATAAAATTTTAACGTGGCCTTCACTCCAGTTTTCGCCATCTAAAAAAACACTTTGGGGGGGGGGTAAAAAAAACCGAAAAAATAAAAAAGATTTTCAAAAAAAAAAAAATCACGAGGGTCCAACGTGCGACACAGTCACACAGATCTAACCTAATCCGTTAGTCGTATCACACTATCAGCCACACAAAAGTCAGCGAGATCACATGGATTCTTGTTAGCGTACGTGTACGTAGCTATGTTGCAACTTGCTGACAGACGTCCGGTGGGCCCATACTTGATGACCCGTTTGAGAGGGCTTTTAGACAGCCGATGAGCCGCTTCCAGCTTTGGCCTCACGCCCCCTCACCGGCGCAGGACGCAGCCTATGAGCCATGTAACCATGTTTGATGGAAACACCACCGGAGAACTCGAAATGGCTATTTGAAAGCCAAATAATAATACATTCCAACTCCCTACGGACAAAACACATTCCAACCGCCTACCAACATAACCTGACACTGTACATTTCATATATGGCGGGTTCCACTTTTATGATGGGTCCCAGTCTCTGTGGTGTTAGATGAAGTTAGTAAAGGGTTGGCATGTGTTTTGTTCGTAGGAGATCCCACCACCATTTGAGAAGCTGAAGAATTGGTTGAACTGCTTTCATTAAGCTGCTTTGGAAAAACCATTAAAGCCCTATTAATTTATTGGTAAATAAGGAAAATAAGTTGGTCAATGGATATTTTTTCTCACTGACCAATTTTGCAATGCTTTTTTTGCATTTAATAATAAGCCCCACAGTAAAATCAACTCTACTTCCCCAAATAAAACGTAACTTTCTGGTGGAAAATTTGAATAAATAACTTTCTTACATTAATAAAAATTTTATAAAACATAATGGACAACTTTATTTATTTTAATATTTATGGGTGAAAAATATCGTTCTATTACTTATTTAGGAATCAAAAGAACATCAGTAAATGAATTTATCCAAAAAAATATTATCTAAAGAATATTTACCTGTTATAAACGAACAAAGCCCAAAAAAGATTCAGCTGAAAGCCATGTTTTCAGCTGAAGGTGGGGCCCACCTCACAAGGCCAGAAGACACTTCATAAAAGCCCTCCCACACGGTTACAACTTCCAAAGGCTTCTCCAAAACAGTTTAGTGAAAGCAGCTGAACCAACGCCTCAGCCCTCCCAAACGGGCCAAGTGGCGTTACAAAAACAGCCTCATGGTCATAGGACATAGCTACTACAATGAGCATACCCATATACATTCCAACACTAATATTAAATTAATATTCGGTCATTTAGATGCTGCAACTAGCAATGCAGGGTGAAATTTGAGCCTGTCGCTCTGTCCTACACTTTTTTAACTCCGCGAAGATGCTCACTGGGGCACTGCCCACACCGACGACTGAATAGAGCTGAGTTGGTGACATGCGCTGGCCCCTTTTAGATGTAGAGTTGGGTTTAGGCTGGATTCCATGTTCTAGTTTCCAACCCAAGTCCAGCCAAAATGACTTTTGACTCGAGCGGGCCTGCCATGTAGGAGTATGTCCGACCATCTACTGCTGCTTGCAACTTGCGACACAACCGGACAAACGTCCAAATTGATGCCTCTGATTACGCGTTCTATCAAATATTAGATGAGAAATGATGACATTTTACTTTCTTTACCCTTTTTTTCTGGAGCTCAGTACAAGAGGTTGTGAATTTGTGATCAAGGATCAAATAATTTCCTCCCATCAAGGATCATGACCATAGGGAATACTTGCTGTCCATTGAGTTTCTAACCACTATAACTATCCATTTATTTTTTTAACCATTTTTAACACCCTAGTATTTCAGATTTAGCAGCAAAATAGTTGAACAAAAGAAGCAAAAACATTCCACTATTAGGCATTGGGACCCATAATAGATAGGTGTTTGCATGGGCCTTACTACATTGAAAAGGAATCTCTGATGCCCGGGAATGGAACCTATACCTCCGCCGGGAGAGAGGCCTGCTATTCCCCAGGATTGAATCTCCATCTCCATAGATAGAGATAACCATGACAAACCTCAGACAATTGATTGTTGAAAAACCATTACAGTCAAGACAAAGGTTCAGTGTATCCTACATTTCTCCAGCAACCATCGATCTTATAAATGCAGAAAAATAAAAATTATGAAAACGAATCTCTTCCTTTAATCCCCATGGTCAAGATATTTTTTACACAATCAACTAAGACATTATACAACATGCCATAAATTTTCATCAGTGATTGATTAAAGTCTGAAAGAAAGAAAGAAAAAACCAAAAAAAAAAAGATGTCAAGAATGCTCTTATCGATAAGCTTCCGTTGGAGGCAGAAATCCAAAGAAGCTTAGCTATTATATCCCCTCATTCTGTGGAAAGAAAACCTGAACAAGAAATTATTATTCTCTTGGTCAGAACATTGATTATGACAATAGGAAAACTCTGAGATCCATTCATCTGAATTATTTCTCCTCTTTTTTCAATTTTTTTTAGTCACAATAGGAGTTCAGGTACAATGCAAAGGCCACTTAGGGGTGTTTGTTACATTCGCATCCATAGTCCATGTAACTAGAGCTGCAAGTCGGGTTGCCCAATTTGAAGAATTGTAACTACATCAAACTTGGTTAAGGTTCAAGACCATTAAAATTTTAAGAAATTCCCAACCCAACCTGACCCAAGTTGCACCCCTACATGTATACACCATTTAGATGTTTTAACTTTTATCATACCAAAATCATGTTTGGTTGGGCAGATTTAACTTAACTTTTGTACCACCTTTTACATAAGGTTACGTGCATGGTGATGTTGGGAAAATGTCAAAAAAGTCATCCCACAACAAGGGGGTGTAACAATTGTGCATAGTGCTATGTGCCAAACACCTTCTTAGGGGGTGTTTATCAATGTGTATGGCTTTGTTTTCTAGAATTAAAATAATCGCCAACAAAAACATATTACCACCTTAACGAACATGAATACATTATCCACTACTTTAACGGTACACATACAAGTAGATTGCTTTTATTATTAGGCTGGAAGAAAGATGGAGAGATTTAAAATTAACATTGACACAACCTGTAGGTAGGGGCCATAATGGAAGTAACCTAAAGAGTAATTCTATATCACCACATTTAAGAGGCAGATCACCATCATGGACATCCTAAACGGAATTAGACAACCATGATGGTATTGTGTCAATTGTATAAACTGAATTATATGCCAACAGAGAAAACGTACAGCAGTAACAGCAATGTGGAACCATAGAGAAACGTTTCAGCAAAATTACTTACATCAGATATCAGTTTTAGCTCTCACTTGTGCAAGACACTCTTCTTCGGCAACTTTGGTTTCTTTTGAGTTTGGTTCTACCAACAATCATTGGGCAGAAAGATAGTCAGAAATCAAACAAAAAGGCAATGAATCAATTGGCAGCAGTTTAGTTGAACTTTTGAAATACACCTTTTGCCTTTCCAAAGCCTCATTGTCCATCCTATCCTTCCAGTTGCTCTTACGTAGTTTGATTGGACGGTTCCCAACATATTTACCTGAGATGGTTGTGAAATTAGAACAATAAGGGTGTATGTATTTTAGCAACGTTCTTTGTAAATTGCAGATAAGCCAATAAACCTTATTTTCAACTTTAAGTGGACTGCAGCAATTAAGCTAGACCCATCTAGAATTTTGACAATTAATACTCTTGTGAGTCTTGTCTATGCCCATGTATGCATAAAATACTCACAAAAAGTAAAATACAAATATTGAACAGACTCTCAAAATACACATATTCAAGAAAGAAACTGACCATGAGAATAATATATATTAATATGCTCACCATTCATTTCTTTCATTGCTGCTGCAAGGTCTGAAGGGTTGGCAAAACTAACAAATCCATAACCCCGGGTTTTGCCAGTCCGCTTATCTCTAACCACCTGGGAAGGTGAGGATTATGTAAACAATGGATAAATAATTTAGTTGCATACATATAAAGAGAGAAAAAAAAAAGCATAATCCATGACCATAGATGATAAACCTCAGACATCTGGAAATGGAAAACAAAAGTTTAATGCTAGATACAGGAAACCTAATCCGAGTCTAAAGGACTTTTTTATAACGGCTGAGTGGCTGAACTGAATGGCTTACTGCTTTGTCTGTTAGTGAATAAGTCATTAAGTAGGCTGTCAATTCCATAATGGCCGAATAGCAACATAGCATGTTGGGTTGGTTAGTATACCCTTAAATATTTTATCATATTATTATTTTATCCACGAAAAGGCAAAAGAATGTCATTCAGTTCAGCTATTTCATCCATTAGCAAACAGAGACCAAGTCTCTAATAAAGATTTTGAAGAAGTTGAAACTTTCCTTTCTATTCACCACTAGAAGAAAAAAACTGGAATGATTTCATATCAAATTCTGAACTACACACATGAATGAAGGATGATTTTCATATCAACTAGTGTTGAGTTTGTGCTTTATTTTTTAATAGGTTGTAATCTAACAGTTGGTGTGGTTCCCCCTTTAGGTTAAGGTGGGTGTTTCACAAAAAGCCTCGTCCGTTTTGTGGTAAAAATTTGGGGGTGGGGATGGGGGGGTAAGTAGGTGGGTCCTATGGAAATGCAATAATCTCATGTTCGGCTGCCGCTACAATGGGGCCTACTTACCCACCCACCGGAAACGCCAATCACTTTGTTTCTCACACCTTATCTGGGTAATCCTTGGCCAAGCCAAATGCTGTATTTGTGATTACCTGGGTAACATTTCCCTAGAAATGTCTGGGAAAACTCCTTACCCGGGTAACGCAAAACAAAAGAGGCCTAAAATATTCCTTTTGTATATAGGATTTAGGTTCTTTCTTTTGGGAGAGGAGAGGAACAAGAAAAGGGTGCTCTTGGTGTAAAAGTTTTTTTCCCCATGGGTTCTTCGAATTGAGAAAGGAAAGGGAGAAATGGTGTATAAGGGATAAGGGTTGATTTGGGTTGTAAACCACAAGGTACTGTGTACTATTTCTCATTTTCTTACATAGTGACGAACAATTTTATCTCTCCGGTGGAAGTAGGCGATAAGGCCAAATTGCATAAACCCCTTGTGTTATTGCCTATTGGGTGGTGCTTATTTCTTTTGCCCCTTGCCTGGATTTTTTTTTTTTATTTTTTGTTGTTATTAGATTCTCTTGGCTACTAATTTGTCTCAAATACTTTGTGGTTTCGTCCTATGGATGGTTATTGCGACCCCAATAAAGTGGTGTCAAAGCTTTCAAGTTGGTATTTACAAAGTGTTTGTGAAGTTGCTTAAGAGATAATGACAACAGAATGTATGAATTCTCAATTCCAGATTGAGAGTTTTAATGGCAAAGAAGGGTGAAGGACATCTTGGTCCAACAAAGCTTGGCTAGAGCATTGAAGGGAAAGGATGGGAAGCTAGAAGACATGAAAGATACTAATTCAAAGGACATCGAGTCAAGGTGTATTAGTACAATTTGTTGCTCCTGGCCGATAACGTTATGTTTGGTGTTATAAAGGAAGATTCTGCACCAAAGTTGTGGGAGAAGTTGGAACACCCTATTTGGGGAAGAGGCGAAGAGCTTAACCACAAAGTTGTATTTGAAGCAACAACTATATGAGCTAAAGATGGAAGAAGGTGGGAAATTTCTAGAACACCTAAACATGTTTAACAGTATTTCGGATTAATTGGAGAAAGTAGATGTCAAGGTGGAGGAAAAAACAAGGTGTTTTTGCTTCTTACCTTGCCTCCTAATCCGTACAAAATCATGGTGATAATCAATGTTTTAAAAACCGAACCGGAGGTCGAACTGTTTTTGCCTCCGGGTCACTGATCACTGGTTCGACCGGTCAGATCGAACGGTTCAGACCGTGCCATGTCAACGCATATATCTATATATATATATGAGCTAAAGATGGAAGAAGGTGGGAAATTTCTGGAACACCTAAACATGTTTAACAGTATTTTGGATTAATTGGAGAAAGTTGATGTCAAGGTGGAGGAAAAAACAAGGTGTTTTTGCTTCTTACCTTGCCTCCTAATCCGTACAAAAGCATGGTGATAATCAATGTTTTAAAAACTGAACCGGAGGTCGAACCGTTTTTGCCTCCAGGTTGCTGATCACCGGTTCGACCGGTCAGATCGAACGGTTCAGACCGTGCCATGTCAACGCATATATATATATATATATATATATATATTAGCAATAAATAATGTATAAATATGTTTTAGATATGTTATATGTATTATTTTATATTTAATTTATTTTTTAAATTCAGTTTTTATTTTTATTTATAAAAATATTAAAATATATAATTTAAGGCCAAAAAAGGGGTTTTTTTAGCAAAAATAGCGGGGTACGGCACCTTGGGACACATAGATCTCAAAAAGTTACACAACTTCAAAAACAATCACCCCAATCGAACATCGGAGTACAAAGTTATGGCCTTCGAAAGTTTTACATGCATTGAGTGTGCAACCCGCAACCCGATCACCGAGTTGAACAGGTCAACGGTCAAACCGGCTGGGTCGAACGGTTTTTGACTAACGGGTCTTGACTGAACCGGACCTGAAATCCTGGTCGGGTTATGGTTCAAATGGTTCAACCGGTCGGGTCAATGGTGGGTCGAAAACATTGGTGATAATGCTGTTGTATGGGAAAGACACTATAAAATTGAAAGAGGTAACCACATCTCTTATATCCAATGAAGTTATGAGGAAGCCAAGCCCAAGTATGAGAGTGCATAAGATTCAGCAATGGTTATGTGGGGAACAAATCAAAAAGGAATATCACCCAACGTGGGATCTAAGAATGGCAAGTCAAAATTCAAGGTCAAAGAAAGGGCAAGATAAAATATTATAGATGCAAGGAGTTTAGTCACATGAAGAGAAATTGTCTTGTACGAAAAAAGAACGAGGATGAATCTAGTAGGTAGCGGTCTACTTGTGACATTATAAATATTGGAGTAGTAAAAATCAAAATATTTGATGGAGATGATTGCACTTTGGCATATGTCCCAAAAATGCTTACAAATCTAATATCACTTAGCCAATTGAGCTCCAAAGGTTGCAAAGTCTTTTTGTTGTAGGTAGTCATGAAAACACATGCGGCATTATAGTCCTAATGATGGGAGAAAAATGCAAGGGCTTGTATTATTTGGTTGGGAATACAATGGTTCCCAAGACCTCAACGAATTGCTGAAAACAAGATGTGCAATGCAGTGTGGCTACATAGAGAGTCTCTTCCTTAATAGTTAAGGTCGAGACAAGTGCTACATTTTTTAGGGTATATATGATGATGCGAGGAAAATTCTTATTGAGGAAAAGGAATGATTGAAGTCCCTCTATAGAGTTAATTAGGATTGTTAATTTGGGTGCAACTACACAAGTACATTGGCCACTTTGGTCAAACCAAGTGGTATCAAGGCTAGATGATTTGAGTTATGTGTAGCTGGTGATGCCTCTCAAGGACAATGGATGTTTGTAGTATTTACAAATAAGTGGAGGCACAATCTCCATGATGATTGAAAAATAAGCCAAGATGGAAATTGTTGGGTTTTTGTCTTATTTTTCAACCATTGCATTAGGTAGTAATCTAATGATTGATGTGGTCCCTCTTTTAGGTTAAGGTGGGTATTATATATAAAAGGTTCCTTTTGTATGTAGGGTTCAGATTCTTTCTTTTGGGAGAAGAGAGGAAGAGAACTTGTCTAGCCTCAATTTTTTGCGACAACCAAAGAAGAGGGGAAGAATCTTATGGAAGGCAGCTAGGGGCATCAACTATTTGGACACTTTGGGAAAAAAGAAATGAAATAATATTTTAGGAAAGGTGTAGGTGCAGGGAAAATATTGTGGAGGGTATAAAGGTCAAGGTTATCCATCAGGTAAAAACAATGGAAGCATTCCAAGGGCTTGCAGTAGATGATATCTTAAGAGCTTTGAAAGAAGTAGCCAACTCTTCTACCATGAAAGACAAAATAATCATGGAATGGAAGCCTCCTTCAGTTAATAGAGTGAAGATGAACTTTGATGGGAGCTCTTTGGGAAACCCAAGAATGTCAAGAATTGGAGGTGTATTCAAGGATGAAAAGGTCAAGGTGGTGACATTATTCTTTGGTCCTCTTGGAGTGGGGGACTCTACTAGGGTTAAAGTGATGGTGCTGCTTCAAGGGATGAATGTAGCAAAGAAATGTGGTTTTCAACATGTAAAGGTGGAAAGGAACTCAAAATTGGTAATATCTTGGAGGAATGAAAGCAATCCGGGCACGTGGGTTCATAGGCACACTATAAGAAAGATTAAGAACATAGCAAAGGAGAAGGGGGCAACTTTTAGATGGGTAAAGAGAACAACAAATGGAACAGTTGATTGCTTAGCTAAAAAAAGAGTATACAAGGACCAACTTATCAAAGCAAATTTGTAATTGGGTTCTTTTATTTGTAAAAGCAATATTGTGTAATGTGTTTTAATTGAATTGATAAAATGTACTTTTATCGATAAAAAAAGAGTTTTTTTTTTGCATGGGTTCTTTGAGTTGAGAAAGAAAGAGCATACAAGGGTTAAGGGTTAGTTTGGGTTACAAACTACAAGGTACCGTGTACTGTTTCTCATTTTCTTTCATAGTAAAGAATGGTATCATCTCTCCCATGGATGTAGGCAGTAAGTCCAAAGTACATAACTCCTTTGTGTTCTTGATGGTGCTTTCTTCTTTTGTCCTAGCTTGGATTTCTTTTTTTTTTTTCTATTGGATTCTCTTGGTTATCATTTCATTTCAAATACCTTGTGGAGTGTGGTTTTATCATGTGGGTGGTTATTGTAAGCCCAACAAATAGTAGTCCAGATTTAAGGTCAAAAATCACTCTTGTCCTTATTATGGTTTTGCTTTTTGAAGTTTAACAATTGGATGAAATAAAATTTCAAAGGATGGCAAGATCCAAATGCACAAGCAGAAAATCAAACTTGGATCCTTTGTCACTCACATAAATGCAAGTATCTAAGCATGGTCAAAGGCATACATCAAAGCTCTCACCAATTCTTATGCTTGTACAAATATATAAATACTTAAGCTTTCCCATCTTTATAGCAAACAGTAGTCCATATTTAGTGTCTGAATAGCCTAGACCATGAAGCACATACATGATTTTCTCCCTAGTACTAACAAGGTCTCAATACAACCTAATAATTTAAGATCAACCCATGTACAACCACAACTCCAGATAAGAAATCTTGCCATTGTTATTAGGACAGCTAAGAAATCCTGGTATTAGGATAGCTCCAAACTAATCAGTCTACCTATGCTAAATTGCTAACACTTAGATGCCACGTTGACATATGGCATCTATCTTCTTGTAAAGGACATCAAATAAAGTGTCAACAATTTGAATCTCCAAATATTTCTCTAACTTTTTTGTTTATACTATATCACAAAATTATTTATTTAATTCAATATCCACTTACAGCTATCTCCATGCTATGATTTCTATTAGGGAAGTCAGTGGATTGGGTTCATTACATCTTAGGCTCAACCCAAATCCGACCTGCAGTCACTTCCACCCAACAAGGTGGAATAGGGTTATAGAACTTGACCTGTGCTTGTCCCATTAACAGTACCAATTTTCTTAGCAAAGGTTATATTTATATATTTTTTCCAATGCCATTATAAAAGTAAACCAGCTTCAACCCGAGCATGACCCAAAACCAAATTAAGACTGACATGGACTGGGTTGGATCAAGGGAGGTCTACAGCTAAAACAGACCCACTGGCATCCCTGACTTCTATTGGTTGACATGTGGAGCACCTGCAAAACCCTAGCTACTTGGCATCGTGTACCAAGGTATTTTAATTCCACACAAAGATCAGGAATCAAGAACTAATAATTTCTTCAATGATGAGGAGAAGACAGCCTTTATAGCCCAAAAGTCATCTAAAAGATTTTTAATAGCCAACAATAAATCAAGGTTTACCAGCAGCTCAAGCATTGAAAAGTAGTCTAATTTCAGGCATGTCGCATGTATCCAAATACTCAGTTACTCGTTATGCATCAGGAACCAAATAAAGACGTTCCTTTTCTTAATGAGAATGAAATCTTATTAGGGTATTATATCAGTTAAGAGATAATAACATTCTTACAGTGAGGAAAGGGGAAGGAGAAAAGTCCTACAATCTTCACGTCATGGGAAGAAGAGGAAAATTAAGGATTGAGAATTTGGGATAATATGAAGATTTGAATAGAAAGAGAAAGAGAAGAAAATTTGCACCTTTAGAAATATGGGAAATTTACAAAATGGTGGCTTTAATTTCTTGTCTTTTTTTATTTGTATGGTTTTAATTTCTTATACAACTGAAAACCATCGGGTGGAAAATCCAACAGGGGTCATTTCTTGGTGCAATAGTAAAATTTCAGGCTGACAAGTGTGAGAATTTTGGTTGAGCCTGAGAGTGACCTTCTAGAAAACAATAAAGGTTAGATCTGTATCTAGCCAACTCCTCCCAAAACCCTTTTTATTATACCCCCTTCTGTGTCATTCATTAGATTTAATCAGACTTGTGATTTAACCATAAATGCAGTGATGAATATGATCTGATTTATAGGATATTTGGGTAAAGTCCTATAAATCAGATTGTTTCCATCACTGCATTTACGATTGCAGTCTTCTATATTCTGGCAGAAAATAAATACACCGCAGTGGCAGAGTCCTTCTGTGGTGGATGACAATAGCTTCTGTTGATATCCTTTTAGAAGGAATTTCAATGATTGGGAATTTGGAAACTAGAAATGGTAACTGAGCTGTTAGCCATTCCCCAGAATCAATACCCAGATCAAGAATCCCAGGATGCAAGAAGTGGGGAACAGAATCATTCAGGTGTTTTCACTGTCAAGTCCTTTTTTAAGGACCTAGTGAGTGAACCCTACGAGTATTTTCCTAGCAAAGTAATTTGGGGGTCTGTGGCTCCATCAAAAGTAAAGCTTTTCCTTCGGTGACTACCTTGCAAAAGTGCCTCACTAAAGACATGCTTCTAAAAACGGGCTTCAACATTGCAGACCTGAACTTTATAATCTGGAAGCTGAGACCTCAAATCATCTATTTTTGCACTGCAACTTCAATGTAGCAGTGTGGAATCATTTTTCTGAAGGCAGTAGATCTGAACTGGTGCTTTCCCAAATTGGTAAAAACGCTTTTGGAACAGTGGCAAGTTGCCAGAATGACTAAAAAAGGGAAAGTTTGATGGTCGGCCATCCCTCTGGCAATCATTTGGGCTATTTGGTATGAGAGAAATATCAGAATTTTTTAGCAAAAAGCTACATCTAAGCAGAAGTCATCAATATGGTGGTGGATCTCTCAGTGATTGGCAGTCTATTCATAATATATTTAAGGATGATACTTAGGATATTTCTTTTTTGAGGGTGTTTTTTTTTTCTCTCCAAGGTCCTGATATGGCTTATACTTGTACAGAAACTCATTTTACAGAGGACCATATTCCTTTTGAATTAATACAATATGATTTACCTTTCTTCAAAAATAAATATTTGGGTAAAGGTAGCTCCTGAAATGTGATAATCAGTATAGTATAGGTTAGAACAGGACAATCTTTTTTTACTGGAGAATGGAAATCATTTTCATAACCATCTTTTTGGTAGCAAACTTGATGTACTGTTTTTAATTAGTTATAACAATCAAAGGAGTTTTGCTAATGAAAATAGAGAGAGAGGGGGGGAGGGAGGGAGGGAATCCCATACTCTTGAAAGACATTCAAGAGCATGGTACACTAGAAGCATTATATGGTCACCCATATGAACCTAATGAACTAATTAAACTGTGAAATTCTAGTATGTTGAGATCTCCAATTAGGAAATCACAAACAAGTCCTAAGTACTGACTCCTATGTAGAATGACAAACTTGTTATTATGATATTTCAGGATAGAAAGGCAATCTATATGTTTGGTTAAAAAAATTACACAGTACATGCCACACATGGAATACTTACACACATAGATGTAATAATCTAACGGCAGCATGAAAAATAAAAAATGGTGGTTGTGAAATCAAGAAGCCAAATTTATAAATCTCTTCCTAAACTACAGGAAAAAAGAAACTAAGAAAGTCACAGAGTTGATGAATGGTTAACTATGTAACCCACTCAGATGACTGAGACCCAGCTTCCAAGTTAATTTCCTAATTCCTGTTTTTTGTATGCTTCAAAAGTTGAGAAGATATAGCTCATTCACTTGCACTATTGGATCTAACTTGTCTGATAAACTAAGAGCATATCCCAAATGTCAAACCACGCAAACCCAGACACTGAAATACTTACATTAAGTTAGATTGCAACTAGTCTTGTTTCTTCAACATACTTTCATGTTTCACATCTCGTAGACAATACACACGCTCAAATATCTAACTGATGTGTAGAGAAGCCTTGCTTAAGTACATCAAAAAAATATGAGCTCAGTGAGATTTAAACAAACATCCGCAAGGATATTCTAAAAGATTGTATGTTCCATTGCTCCTACCAGACACATTGATCAGTGATGCAAGAACATGGGGCTCAAGTTCACGGGCTACTTACTCTTGCCATGTTAAAAGAAGGAAATCTTGAAAATGCCTTTGAAAGAACTTCGTCATTCACTTCGTTACCAAGATCTCCACAAAACAAGCGGAAATCATCTGCAAAATATCATTCCAGTGTTAGAGAATGCTAGAGAATCATCTGTCAAGAAAACCAGAAAAGACAGCAAAATATTGGGCAAAAGTTGCATCATCTGCATCACAAAAATGAAATTTTCTAGTGTTACAATGAAAAACGGCAAATATTTAGAGATAAATGGACCATACTCTCTGGCCAATCTGCAAGTGTTGGATCCTCCCAGGTTTGTCCCGCAGCTTTTCGAGGTACTGCTTTCTTCTTGGTCTCTGCTTTGTGCTCAATTTCACTGCTCGCAAGAGCAGCCTTCACGCTCTCAAGAGCTTCTGGTGTAATTGTTTGTGCATCCCTCTGGAATAACTGCTGTGCCTGTGTGTATCAGAACAAAAAAGTAATAATATTAATATAAGCATAATCATATATCACAGGCTTATAAAATGTAGGTGCTCTGAAAATATAATTGATGGAAGACCACAATGTTGACAACAACTAAAAACCAAAGAAAGGACTCGCCTGCTGATACTGAGGAAGCGAATATATACCGGCAACTGGTGCTGGAGCCGGATATACTGGAGGAATAACCGGAGCAGCCGGAAATTTCACCGGCGGAGCGGGAATTTGAACCGATGGAGCTGGAGGCATATAGGGTTTAGAGTATTGCTGCGCTGCCGTTGGATCCTGTTGTTGAAGGTGGAAAGGCAGCGGGAAATAAGAACCGTTTGAATACGTATATTGGGCTGAAGAAGAAGGAATAGTGCTCGAAGTCGAAGCTGGTTCTGTCGCCATGATCACAAATTTCTGAACCAAAATCAAATCTTTGAATGGGAAACCTAACTTTCTATAGGCGGAGATGAAATCTAGCGCTTACACGGAGAGATTTTTTTCTTTTTCTTTTTTTGTTTTTGACACGGAGAGAATTGTAGCTCTAGGGCTCTTGTAGTCGAGCGTTAACGGCTGAACGCATAGGGAGAGAATTGTAGCTCTTTGTTCCGGGTAAAATCCACGTACCCCCCGAAGTTTGGGGCTACATCACTTGACAATGTTGACATTCTGATTGTTTGCAGCGCAAATCCGAATCAGACGCAATTTTTGCACCCGATTCAGTTTTGTATTCGCTTTTTTTTAAGCCTCCGTTTGAAATCAGCGGCAGTACAAATATATTTATATTTGCATTCTTTCAAAACTGAGCGTCTGAGCCTAACTATAACTTGCGCTCTCACCTGATATAAATTGTGTACTTTCGTCTCTTTTACATTCATTGGTGGTGTGAATTTCACATGTCCCAGTAATTGATGCCAAATTTACCTCTTTATTATGTTAGAGACTATTTAGTTCCATTGCCGTTAAATAAACAACGAAGAATGATAAAAGATGTTGAATAACATTTTTTTGTATTTTTTTTTTTACGGCCAGGCACCATTAGGCGCCACAAAATCTGAATAGTGAAATATCATTTCTTTGATAGCGGTAATCTCAAATAAACCAAGAACAACAAATGGTTTAACCAAATAATACTTCAAACTCCGTTGGAGGATGCCTATGCAGCAATGTAGCATCGAGTTGGTACTATTTATTAGATAAACATCAATGCGACCAAATACTATCTTAATTTTTTGGGTAAAACACTTAAACCTCCACCAACATATTATCATATCATATATACTAAAAATAAAATGGGTACGGTTTGCTTCAAATGGAAACCTATAGGGGTGAGCAAAAAAATTGAAAAATGGAACCGATTAAAACTGAACCAAAAAATTAGTTAAACGAACCAGTCGGCTCAATGTTTTTAAAAACTAAAAGTATCGGTTCAGTTTTGGTTAATCAAAAAAATGGCGGTTAACCTAATTGACCGGTATACATATATTTCTATATATTTATGTATATTATATATATTTTACATTATATATATTATATTTTATATATTATAAATTAATAAATATGCATTATATATATATATATATTTTTATAATATACATTGTAAAAACTAAAAAACCGAAAACTGATGAACTAAACCGACAGTTAACTGAACCGGTCAACCGGTTAACTGATTGATTTCAGTTCAGTTTCGGTTACCGGTTTGGTTCAAGAAAAATGCCCCACGGTTCGGTTAATCGAACCGTAAGCACCCCTAGAATCTCATGTGGATGTTCATAAATATTTGTTGTTTTGGCACCAGTGGTTCATGAGCATTTTTTTTACATTGAGTTATTTACTAATTACAAGAGTGTCACTATTTGTCACATTGAATTTTTACTAATTATAGGAGTGCCATTAAAATCAACCATCCCCGCTTTTTTTGTTGTAAATGTGACATTTAGTTTTCATATAATTATAAGTGTCATTATTTGTAAGGTTGGGTTTCTACTAATTAATGGAGTGCCATTAAAAAGCAACCATTTTCTCTTTCTTAATTGTGCATATGACAGAGTTTTCATGTAATTACAAGAGTGTCGTCAAAATGTAATTACAATATTGCCACAAAATTGTTATTACTCTCTTGGGTCAATTCTGCTTCTAAGAACTAGAACCGATGGGTCGGTTCCAGTTCATAATATACTACCCTAATTCTTATAATTTTAATATATTTAATATATATTAAATAAATTAATATTATTATATAATCGGGTCCATCAGGCCATACCTGATTGTCCTAAGAACCAATCAATTCGATTTATTCATGAGTATTCTATATATATATAATATTTCAATAGGTTTATTATAATCAGGCCCATCRAATCAGACCGATTGTCTCGAGAACCAATTGGTTCAGTTATGGGTCTAAAATTATAGACCTTATCGGGTCTGGTTTGGTTCCAAACCCTTAGTAATTATTTGTCGGGTTGGTTCCAGTTCTATATAGACCCAACCCATTGACAACCCTCTCTCTCTCTCCACTCCCTTGAAGGCTTTATAATACTATTTTAATTTTTCATTTATCTTTATTTTCGAATTTTCATTTATCTTCAATCACCCTCTCCATGAACTTTTAATATTATTTACAAGATAATAAATGTTTTGATGTATTTTTAATTAATTAATTATGAATTAATGAAATCTTATAATTATGTTTCATCTAGGCAAGCCCCAATAGGGATTCAAGTATTGGAAACAAACCCAACTTGGAAACTTGTGGGCCTAATGCACACTCAATCACTGAATTAATCAATTTAATTAATTAATTATGAATTAATGAAGTCTTATAATTATGTTTCATCTAGGCAAGCCCCAATTGGGATTCAAGTATTGGAAATAAACCCAACTTGGAAACTTGTGGGCCTAATGCACACTCAATCACTGGACCAGGCTTGAATAAAAGACCTAGGTCCAAGCCTTGAATTTTTGAGTTAGGTCGGGCTTAGGTTGGTTGAGCCCAAGCTTTACTTGGAAAGTTACTCAATCACTGGACCAGGCTTGAATAAAAGACCTAGGTCCAAGCCTTTAAATTTTGAGTTAGGTCGGGCTTAGGTTGGTTGAGCCCAAGCTTTACTTGGAAAGTTATGAGACTAATGTGAGATCAGGTTGGGCTAAGGTATTGGGCTAAAAATTTGCAGGGCTATGCTTGGACCAAGTCTAAATACAAAACTTAAGACCAAGCCTAGAATATTTGGACCAACACAGACCTTTCCATCTACATATCTTTAACATTTTCAATCGAATTTCATGGAACAAAAGCAAACTGATATTTTAAAACATTCTCTCCCTTTCTCTCTCTAATAATTCAACTACTCCCTCCTATCCCTCCACACCCTCTCTCTCACTCCCTCCCCCAACTCCTTCAACAATATACACTTGGTAAAATGTCTTAGTGCATATCATATGTTAAGTTACTTAATTTTGTTTAAATGTTTTTTTAAGACTTAATTAATTATTTTGAAGTTATTAATTGTAATTATAAAATCAATTGTTTTAAATTTTGAGTAATTAATGTAATTTAAGTATTTAATTAGATTAATTAAATTAATAATTAATTAATTTATCATATTTAATCTTTTAAGTTAAATTAACTAAATTAATTTGCTTCCTTTATCCAAGTAGCTAACTTTAAATCTTCCTATATGAATAAAATTGCCTATTTAATGTGTTCTTGTATTCTTATGAGCCCTTACAACTAAGGCTGCAACTTGGACCAGTTTGGCCCAAACCCAATCCGAAAAATGTTGGGTTGGGGTGCTGTTTGAGTTAGGGTTAGGGTTGGAATTCATAAACCCGACTTTACTTCGAGTTAGGTTAGAGTTGACCCCTCATGCAACTTGACCTGACCCAAACCTGATTCTATAGTACATGTCATATATATGATAGTTGTATAACCCCCACCACATACTATCATGTCTTTCTTTTAAGATAATCACTTCATTTAATCCTAATATAAAAGATTAAAACCTTAATAACATATTTTATGTTTTTTGAATATTTCATTATTCATATCTTCTTTGCTATTTTCTGCCCATAGCTTAATGCCCATAAAAGATCTATCATAACTCATAACTCATATAAACTATAGTCATTTCACACACTCATTTTTTCTAAATTTTGTATTAAAAGAACCAATAAAAACATCAAATTAATATATCTAAGAAAGTTGAGTCAAKATCTGAGGTTGAGAAGCTCTATAAGATTTTAAGGGATGGGAACAAGGTTGGGTTGGATCCAACCTGAACCCAACCCAACTCGAAGTCTGGTTGAAAGTCAACTTTGGGTTGGGTTGGGTTAGGGTTGAAGGAATTTAATTAGGGTTAGTGTGAGCGTTGGAAAACAGGCTCACTTGGGCTGATTTGGAGTCACCACCCATCAAATTTGGGAATGGAGGTGATGGGACCTCCGAGAATAGCATTGTTAGTGTCGACTGTGTAGGGGTATTTTAGTCTTTATAGTTATGTTTTGAAGCTGATGTGTAATGTTCTGTTAATTAATGTGTCACATACTTAAGTAGGGGCAAATGAGTCTTTTGAATTATGAATAGAAACATATAAATTAAAGCTGGCTGACTAGAGAGAAGATTAAGTTCTCTAGTTCGAACCAGAATTTTCTCCTTCCCTATTCTTCTCTCTTCTTCTTCTTCTACTTCTTCTTCTATTCTCTCTAATATCTCTTCAACCCTAATTCTAAAAGAATTCTAGTGCAGATTAGGATTATAATAAGCATCAAAATTCATTTTGGTTCAATAGTGACTCCAAAGCCCAAGGAACTGGCTAAACCAATATGTGTAAGACTTGGATGGGAGAGGGAAAGGGTTAGGCACACCTCCCTGAGTCCAATTGGTGGGGCCTGCATGGGGTTTCGAAAAAAGCATGATCACAAATGATTAATCAAAAGCATAACAATGATAAAGAAAGTAACAAACTAAAAATAAACCAACAACAAAGAATCTATCCTACTTAATTTATTTATTGTATTTTTTTTCTCCCTTTTTTCTTCTTTCCTTCTTTATATTTACTCATCTATTATTATCATTATCATTTTTTATTTATTGCATTTTCCTATTAAAGTCTTGAAACTCATATAAAGACTTAAGAAAGAGATTATTATGTGCTTGGTTTTTAAATATTGCTTCAGCAAAGTATCTCATATAAAAGAGTGCAATCATACAATGATAGTTTTGAGTTCTATTTCATAGTTGTCATTTGTTTCATATCGAGAATTCCCAGTTGACCCAGACGGTAGGACCGCTCGGCCCGAGAACCATCCAGGCAACCAGTTCCATTTTACCCCAAACATGGTCCTTGGCCAAAAATCGTTGAATCAGTCAATGACCCATTGACCTGGGCGATCGACCCATTGACCCGTTCAATGGTTTTTGGCTATTTTTTAATTTTTGTTTTTCTGGGGCATTTTTTCTAAATGTCAATAATTAGACGAAATAATTGTGTAGTCATAGTCATAGGAAAGGTAGACATGAGAAGGGATTCCAAAACCTAGAAAGATAAATCCAAAGTGAGCTTAAACACAAAAAAAAAGGCGGTAACTCCACCAAACTGGAAAAACCATGGAAAAAATCAGAAAATTGAGTCCAAAGTTCCGCTTTGTTATGGAGCTAAACATACATGCAATCAAAGAAAGAGATAAAGTAGATCGTGTTGTAAAAAAATATTAATAAAAAAAA